TCTTCCGATCTAAACCCTAAACCCCTGACCCCCAAACCCTAACCCCTAAACCCCTAAACCCTAAACCCTAACCCCTAAACCCTAAACCCTAAACCCTAAACCCCAAATCCCAAATCCCAAACCCTAAAGCCTAAACCCCAAACGCTAAACCCTAGGGTCCAGTTGAGCCGTGATGGTCGATGGTAGCTCGGGCATCGAGCGCTAAGGAAGTTCAACCTCTACCATGCAACCTACTGGATCATCACCCCCGCTACAAAAGGCCGGGCTTGCTGGCGATGGCCCCGAATCCGATTTTTTCATGGGTCAACCTGAGGCCTTAGAGACACCGTGCTCCAAGGATGTATCTTCAAGTCTGTAGGTCATGTGAAGATCCTTAGAGTCTATTCCGTGATCTTAGCTTTCTTGGGGTCTGAGCGACTTTGGACCTTCCAGCCCCAAGCCCCAAGCCCCATGACTAACATAGTGGCTAGAGCTTAGGTGGACCTAGGTTTCGGGTTGGCCACACCTGAAACCACTTGTGGAGGCTACGGTGAAAGAGGCTGCAGCTACGTGGAGCTGGTCTCCAAGGCTTCTGGGGCCAAAGCGAATTTCGCAGGCTTTGGAGTTGTGAGCGATGGTGGTCGAGTGGCTTGGGGCATCCAGGCATGGGAAGGTTATTGATGGCTTTCATCTTCGGTTGGATGTCACATGCACAAGAAACGCCTTCCTCTTTCCGGTGATGAGGCTACATGACATGTTCCATGTCTGATTCCACCAATGGCCAGTAGACAAGTCAAAGCCCACGTTTGAGAGCCAGGGCTTAGTGTCACAGGTTCATGGGGATAGTGGGCTTTCCAAGCAGCCCCGATGATGAGAGCTTGCTCCTACAGACTCCAGCATGGTCAGAATCTCCGGATGGGGACCGTGGAAAAAAGGGATGTTGCAGCCTGTGCAACCGAACCCGCTGCAGAAACCGTGCATTCCCGTCTGGAGCAACCCTCCCCAACCCTGACCACATAGTCTTAAAATTTGAACTACGGCCTGCACCTTGCAAGCTGCCGCACCCTCCGGTCAACTGACCCTAAACGCCTCAAGCCTTTAATCTCTTTGTTACAGACACCCTATTAAAGACCCCTTGAACCTTGAACCCCAAAAGCCCCAAAAACTTGCAAACAAAAATGCGAAAAGCCTCTCCGAGACCGCGGCGGAGCAGAAGCCCACCTGGTTCGTGTCCCATGCCTGGGTGGAGCCGATCTGTCGCTTCGTGTCTTGGCTGCCGTGGCAGTGGTACTCCCAGTATCAGCGAAGGAGGAGGACAGGAGGAGGAGGAGGAACGGCTGCGGCGGAAGTAGCAGCTGCAAAAGAAGTATAGCAGTCTTCTGCAGCAGCAGCAACAGCAACAGCAACAGGTAGCAGTGGGTAACTGCAGCTTCAGCAGAAACAGTCACCGTGGTGGTGGCAGTGGGCAACAGCAGCAAGAGCAGAAGCGGGGGAAACAGCAGCAACAGCGGAGAGAGAAGGATGAGGATCACTATCGGGAAGAGGACGACGGGTGTTCCTGTAGGAAAGGCGCAAAGACCGGATTTTGTCATAGTACGAGCAAGGAGCCTGCAACTCGATGCAAGTATCTAGGGCTACGTAGGGCGGTCTTCCCAGAGCTGTCTGGTCCTCGAAGGCTGCGGTTTTCTTGCCGCATGCGGGATCTGCAATGAGGTGGCTCTGGAGACTCTAGAGTCCAAGCCCTAGCTCCATGAAGCTTCGATTCGGAAGTCTTTGGTTGCGCCAAACCCTAAACGCTAAACCCTAAACCCTAAACCCACAGAAGTGCAGGTCACTAATCTGGACCGCCATGCCGCAGTCCGCAATCTCGATCTGCACACGGCCTTCTGGGCAGCTTGGCCAAGACCATGAAGGCGAACTGATGCGGGTTTAGGGTTTAGGGTCTGGGGTTGTTGGACTTCGTCGCCTTCGACGTAGCGGTGGTAGCAGCAGGAGCAGCAGAAACAGTCGGAGAGCAGGAGCAGCAACCTTACACAACTCCTTCATCATCCTGACCACAACCGTCACCGTCATCACCATCCTCATCAGCATCCTCCTCCTCCTCATCATTATCAGACTGTCGTTGTTGTTGCCAGTGTTGCTGTTACAGTGCTGGTGCTGTTGTTGGTGGTGGTGTGATGCCGTCCAGCATAATGGCAATGGCAACAACACATGAATCGTTTAGGTTCCCTGGGTCTTCATGACAGTCCAGTCAGCACTAGCCGTTTCGGGGGTTATGCAAGTTTGTGATGGCATGGTTATGATTTGGTTGTGGTGGTAGTGCTGTCACAGACGACCTCGCCCTGGTCGTGGAGATCATAGTGGTGCTGGCATGCTAGTATGGGATGTTGATACTGCTGATGGTATCCATGATGTGGGTGGTGGTGAGGAACGGGCTTTCGACGGCCCTGACAAACACTAGCAGCATTGAGGCTTGATGCATCGTCCGAAGCCTTGTTATCATTTTCCATTTAGCGCTGCCCTGTCCCGTTGGAGCCACCGTTTGGCACTGTTGAAGACACTGCCTGCCACTCCCGGGGCGCGAAGATGGGTTGCTCACACTCGTCCGGACTCCCAGAGGCCTGGAATCCACTGTAAACAAACTCGCGCAAGTCATGGTGACGGGGTTAGGGCTTCTTTGAAAGCGAAAGGATTGCGTTGTCGCAGGCCCCTACGAAGCACACCTTTGGTGGTGTCGAGCGCGAGAATGTCGCAAAGAGTGCATTGCAAGTCCGAGACAAGGTTCTGGTGGAATGCATCTTGCCAGGCTTTTCATTCTAAGGCACTTGTCTTAGCATCACCATGGACTGCATCTTGCTCTGACTTTCCATTCTTTCTAGCCCTGACAACGTCTGCCAGGCTACCTCCTGCTAGAGCCTTGGTCAGCTTAAATGGTTTCTCTCAGGTGAGGAGCCTTCGTCGATGGCAGACTTTGATTCTTGGAGGCACGTCATGGACGAAGACGACGTGAAGGCGCTCGACAGTGGAAAGAATATGCCGATCAATCGCACGGCACATCAGCATTATGCGACCCAGACTCGGCGTGCCTTGCAAGAGTTGACGAGTGACCCGGAAGTGCTGAAACGCTTGGTGAAGAAGCACCGGATGGAAAACGACCGCATCTCGACGTGTGTCAGCCACGGGACGACGAACCTCGGTGATTCAAAAGAAACACTTTTGCCCAAAAACCGTGCTGGTGTTCACTGTGTTGGTTTCCTCGCAAAGACAACACAGAAAGCACAACCCACGAAATGCCAAATCTCAACATCTCTCTCGTAAATCCTGAATCCCCAAACCGCGAACCTTCTGATTGAAGCAAGAACCCGACGTGGCCGCGTCCGGTTGCACAAGCTATGCCACAGGAGTCCGTCACCGGCAGAAGCCGTGGATGCGCCTCCGTCAAGCCCTGTGTCACGGAAGCCTACGATCGTCTCCTTGGGTTGAGGTTGGTGGCTTTGGATTCGTGAGAAAGGCACGACTGGATCTGTGACCGTGTGGACGAGCAGCCATGTTTGGTTGCTTGTCTCTCTCTGCACTGCGTGGGTGGTCTGCAGTGTTCAGATTCTTCCGATAGTGTTAGAGGTTACTCTAGACCAAAGCCCGAAACCCCATTGTAATTGTTAAGGCCCCGATCTTAGAAGATTTAGAGTGTGAAGGTTGATAGGATTTTGAATTCTGCGACGCCCACAAATTTCTTCCGAGTGTCCGTTGCTTTCTGCAGTGACTTCATTTAATCGGTTGCACCTAATTTGCGTGTGGCCAATTTCAGATGAGTCAGAGAGGACAGGCGTAATGTACGCCAAGAGGCTGTGCTCCTTCCCCACGGAAAACACCAGCCGGACCCGCGTCGAATTTTTGAATGCCAGTGCTCTCAGATCAGGTACACTACCCCACTCTTAAACCGCAAGCCACATATCTGCTGTGGAAGTTGCCTGAACTGCGAGTGTTGCAAGCGGCACCTGCTCGTGCGCTAGGCTAGTAAGCCCCCCACCCCCTGCTCCTGGTTTGGCGCCCTTGTGCAGACGAATGTGCCTGCACTTCAAGCAGGCATTCCACCATTTTTTTGTGAATTCGCGCACCAGCTTTATCATCCGCCAGCACAGGTTGAAGATTTGTGTACTTCGGAAGCACGGCAGAGCAGAGCACAGTCATCGCAGAGTGCATGTTCATCTATGCCTAGTTCTTGTAGTGGTAGCCGTGCTGCTCGGATTGAGATGTCACCATGCTGTTAGTGGCATCGGTAGGGGTGGGAGAATATCCAGCAGCAGCAGCAGCAGCAGCAGCAGGAGGAGTAGTAGTAGTAGTAGTAGTAGCAGTAGTAGTAGTAGTAGTGGTGGTGGTGGTGGTGGTGGTGGTGGTAGTTCTTTCAGGTACTGAAGCCACTGTAGTGAAGGCGATGCTCGGATGAAGTCTTAGTTTTTTTGTTCTGGAGGCAGAGCCGATTTCCTTAATCTACAACCCTTGGCGATGAAGGAACATAGATCTTTAAGAACTGTAGTGTCGAGGTGCAGGCCAGCAAGTGGGCTTGACGTCCGGCTTTAAACGCATCGTCAGAGCCGCACTCGCACCATGACAGGTGCTTAGTAAGCAAGGCATAACGACTTAAAAGCCAAGCTGGACGAAAGCCTAGGTGCACCTCGAAGTTAGGTCATTTTTGAATGGCATCGCAGCAGATTGGAAGAGCTCGTGGAGTAGAAAGGTGGCCGTTCCCAGTGATCCATCAGTTAGCTATTCCCCCTGCTCCTGCACGTGGCGTGAACCCCAATGCCCAAAACCGTACAAGGAAGCCTCCAGCACAAAATCCAAATCCGAAACCCTCAGTAAAGCCACAGCCCTACGTTCCGAAGCCCTGCCTTTTCAAGCTCCCGTCGTAGATCGGCCAGCAGAATCCATGACCCCTTAGCTTGCAACCTCTGAATGTATACAAAGTCGGAACATATCAAGAGAAGCTTGGTTTCTGAGTCAGAAAGCTGTTCTTCAAGACCCTAAACCCTAAAGCCTAAACCCTAAACCTTAAATCCTAAACCCTAAACTTTGGTTTCTGAGTCAGAAAGCTGTTCTTCGAGGTTGAGAACCAGCAGTGCTTTGGTCAGGCTCCCACCTGAAGCCTGAAGCTCAAACGAACCAGACAAGTTACTATAACATACTATAGTATACTATGAAATGCTATAGTATACAACAATATACTAGAACTACTACAAGTACTCTAATATGCTAAAAATTTTCTATATATATATATATATAATATGTATATATGTATATATATATATATATATACTATTACATGTATAGAGTAGTCTATTGCTGCGCAGGGACAGGGTAGGCGGCCAGGCCACTGTCCAGTAACTTTCGTAGGTGGGATGAGCCCCTTCCACGCTCTGGCAGTACAGTAATACAGGCCTTGGTGTTCCATCAAGCCAGTATGGAGGTCTGAAAATGTACTGATCGTGTGCCCCTCTAGTCCCGATAAGATTATAGCAGAATATGCCCCCAAACCCCGTCGTAATGACCAAGGCAGCTGCATCGTATGCAGTCGATTAGGAGACCTGCTAATCCAATGTTGGAGGTACCATAGACGTTGTAGAAGAGTGGATGCGTTTTATGTAGCCGAAAGATGGGTTTGTTTCACGGTTTTGTGTCGCCAACAACTATGCTAAGAGCGCTTTTGGCCTTTCATAGCACCGGCATCCAAAACCCAGCCCCTAAACCTTGAGGAGGGAACCATGAATCTTAGTATATCTTATTTAGTAGAATGGCTCTTTCTTGAGAGTGTTTCACATCATCCGACCCTAAACCCGAAACATCCCTAGACCTCAAGGCGTGAAATACCTCTGAGGCTCTGTAATCTTCCTGCCCCCAAGAAAAGGCCCATCTGAGGGTTCTACTAGGGTTTAGGGTTCAGGGTCCGGTTTCAAAAGGGTTTAGGATTTAAGTCTGCTGTCTCAGGAAGACCTTGAGAGTCTAGCTTCCCGGCAGACACCCACAGCCCGTGCTGAAAGGGGCTTAGGATTTAGCGCTTGGTGGTCTGGCCCTGAAAGCCCAAACCCGACCCTTAAGGTTACGTTTAGGGTTTTAGGATTTTAGGGTTTAGGTTTTAGGGTTTAGGGTTTAGGGTTTAGGGTTTTAGGGTTTAGGCTTTTATTTAGGGCTTAAACCCCAAGCCTTAAACACTCAACCCTGAACCCCTAAACACTAAACTCTGCCAGCCCTTCGAGGTCTGTGCCTACGCCAACAACCAGCACGACCTGCAGGGAGATCTGGGTGAACATCCCAGGAGGTGACATAGTATAACATGTGCCTTTAGCACTCCCCTGAGCCCTGAAAGCATAAGGAAGTCAATCGAAGGCTCGTGCAGCATAAGAGTGCCCCCTCCAGGCAGTTCGTTCAGCCCCAACAAATAGGTGAACCCCAGAACCACCACCACCACCACCACCACCTACTACTACTACTACTACTACTACTACTAGTACTAGTACTAGTACCAGTACCAGTACTAGTAGTAGTAGTAGTAGTAGTAGTAGTAGTAGTAGTACTACTACT